AGTACTTGAACATATTCAAGACCGCGCTATATGCATTCATTCAAACTGTAGTTCAAAGTAACACATTTACACAGAAATGAGTTATAAATACCAACAAAATAGTTCTCCCCTCAGTAAACAATAAATGAAATGAAACAATCAATTTCATACCAAATATTGGCTATTAAACTAATTATTCCCTACATGCATACTTATATTTTGTGCTAAAATGCTGAGTATCTCATCTATATTTACAATACAGCTAGTCTGTATCTCTACAGCTCATTGGTGGAGAAAATGTTTACTGTTGCTATGACAACAGACAGCTGACATCAATAGGTGGGTTTCACATTCTACAATACTATTGCAGTTAGAGGCCAGGTTCCAGGCAGTACAACTCAATGGGAGAAAAACTGTTTTTGGAAGAAATTTCCAAAAAGAAACTGTCCAAATGTTTTCCCTGAATATTATTTTACAGTGATTGGATTCACAAACCTGCCATATTATTCATTCCTATGTTGCTGAAAGTCCTTTCTACTGGTCAGCGTCACACATGCTCTTTTGAATACTGTCTCCACTTGTGCATCTTTAAGGGAAAATTAATTAGAGTTGCCCTCTGTCACCCCTGCTTTCCACCAGAGCCGGGGGTAAAATATTGAGAATGGAGATGAAATGGATGGAAATATCTGCAGTTTTCTAAATGAATGGGGAGTTAAATAAAAACATTATTACGTATTATTAATTTTTTTAAATTTTTTTTTACGTTTTCTGCCTCATGTTAGCCTGTGATTATCAGATGTGTTGGGAACAGGACAACTGCATTAAAAACATCACGGTCGTGCAAGAAATCTGAGAGCAAGAGAGAAAGACGAAAGCAACGAGTGGAAGAATGAACGAATGAAATAATTAATAAATGTCAGACCGGCCCGGCGGCCCTGCCCACATTGTCGGCCCACCGGGACGGCTCTCGGTGCTCCAGAAAGTCAGTCCACCCCTGGATATCAATGACACACCTGTGCAAAAGGGGTGGAGACACCTTGTCCATAGCCTTCATGTGATGATGACTCATATTAATATTTGGGTCTCTCCTGCCACACTGAGAAGTCTGTGTTTGGACCACATAACCAATGAAGTGTGGCATAGGGAGGTGTGTGTGTGTGTATGTGTGTGTGTGTGTGTGTGTGTGTGTGTGTGTGTGTGTGTGTGTGTGTCACACAGATACTCTAAAAGGCAAAACACAAAGTAAATAATAAAACAAGTCAGAAAAAGAATCAACATATCCCGAATGGTTAAGGATGCAGATTAAAGCAAACGTGTCCAACCATCTAAACGTCTCCTACTCTTTATGAAACTTTGTTCAACTCCAACGCAGCAGAAGACACGCCTGAAGTTATGCGCAACACAAAAGTAGCTGCTGATGAACAAACCCACTGAGAATAGACATCTGGACCCACAAGCTCATCCTTTCTGTCCCTCTCATCCCCTGCAGCTCTGCATAAATGTCACCTTCTGTCAAGAGACTCAGCGTCTTGTTTTCGGTTGTTAGTAAACGTGAACGATTTCTCGCGAGGTCTTGAACCGCTGAAGATGCCACATTACTGAAACTGTTTATTTCCACTATTAGGCTTGTGGGCGACGGTGGCACAGGAGTTAAGTGCTCGCCCCGTAATCGGAAGGTTGCAGGTTTGAGCCCCGCTCAGTCTGTCGCTGTCGTTGTGCCCTTGGGCAAGACACTTAACCCACCTTGCCTGCTGGTGGTGGTCGGAGGGACTGGTGGCGCCAGCGCTCAGCAGCCTCACCTCTCTCAGTGCACCCAAGGGCAGCTGTGGCTACATCGTAGCTCATCCCCACCAGTGTGTGAATGTGTGTGTGAATGGGTGAATGACTGATTGTGTTGTAAAGGGTCTTGGGGGGTTCCAGGACTCTAAAAGGCGCTATATCAAATACAGACCATTCACCATTTACCAAGGCAGTCTGTGCGGTTCGACAGAAAGGCTTTATAACAGCCCTTCTGCCTGATTTTTGTTTTAACGCTAAATTAGTTTTTTTTAATGAAGACAGAGCCGCCGTTAGGAGATATAAATGTAGTTTTAGCCCATTTTAGGCCCATTCATTAAGTAGGAATGATAAAATGAAGCTGGAGGATGTTATATGATCCATCTGGATGGCGCATGCTCAACCAAACAACTCCGTTTTCATTTTAGTAAAATGTTGAAGCAGAGTTAAGGTTTGATCAGCTTTACCTCAGAGATTTCTGCCTCTCTCGCTCTGAATGTGAACAACGTTCAGATTTTTCATCAACGTCTCTAAGTGGATGGGAAATGTATTCTTCTTCTCACCTTCATAGCAGCAGAGCAGTGTGACACAGTTCAATAGATCATTTCATAAATACAGTTTTAAGCAAACATTTGATCCAGAAACAAAAGTTCACTTTTGCATGTTTAGACATTTTTACGTTAACGGCGACCGAAAGCCTCTCCTAAAGTAAACAGCTGAGTTCAGGGCCTCGGGTGGATGCTGAGGGATTGTTTTTCTATAAACAACAAGATCCCATCCAGGACATGAAAATAAAAACAAACCACAGCTGGAGGCTTCCGATGATTTAGACGACGCCTGCAGGAAGACATCATGTAACAGAAAGACATGTGGACAAATAGCTGCTGCGAACGTCACTTTGCTTCATTTTATCGTCTCAACCCCAAATCTGTTGTAATTCATGATGGCCGAGCACCGTTGTCCCCGTGGCGAGGCTTCAGTTTCACGGACGTGTGCGTGATCTTGATGAACCACTCCCTGGATTTCTGTTGCAACATCACACAGAAGGAGACCGCTTCCCGCCATCACTGATGTTTCATGTTTTCAGGCTGAAATCTTTGTCAAGCTTGCAACCCGTTTTTGTGTTTGTGGCTTGAGGCTTAGTCGTTTGTCGTGGTTCTGATGCTCGGTAAACCACCGGAGCAGATACTCGGTGGACTGATAAAGTTTGCTAGGAGGTAAACTTCATGTTTTTATCAGCGGGAGAAGGTCGATTTTAAAAGTTCATTTCCAAAACAGATGAAAAGCCTTTTTGATCAATGTCACCAAACTTTATTTTGACTGATTTCACCTGAAGAAAGAATAAAAGATGCATTTTTAACGTATAAAAAATGAGTTACAGCATTTGTTTCTGCAAAAGAGCTCTTCAGATTAATCGTGCTCATTAATATACTAATTTCAGAAAATTTAGAAATAGCAATGTTTTTCTTGTTAGTTCAAATTAATGTTTTTCTTAAAGGGGGCAAATCATGTAAAATTCACATTCTGCATCCGTCTGTGCTGCCACATGGGTTTCTTCTGCTCTATAAACACTCCAAACTTGAAAAATCAAACCCACCATTTTTCTGTTGGCGTTTAGGTTAGAAAAGATGTACGTAAAACAAGCTGTTGCGATTTTTCCCCGTTTGTGATGTCACAAATGTGGACATTAGCTTACAACTCCGTCTGAGCTCTTCAGACTGCAGCAGCTTATGTCAGCCTGAGCGGGGGATGGGTGGGCATGGCAACTCCAGCTTGTTTTCCTAAAGTGACAGAGCCCTGAAACGACTCATTCTGGAAGGCACTGAAAATGTTAAGAATAAAACAGCTAAAAAATCCCTATGTCAGAAGGATTTAGCGCAAAGAACTCCATTAACATGCGTCGTATCGACTGTAGAAATATAAATGATAAAAAGTCATAATCTCCCGTCTAATACCGAAGCTTGTTCTTGGAACTGATCCAGAAACATCCAATCGCAGGTTTTACTAAATGTTTATGAACAATTGTTTCTGAAAGGTTCATGAAATAAAAAAATAAGTCACCCAAAAAATGAGAAAAGTGCAAATTAGGGCATTTTATCACAACTCTGAGGTGTTTTATTTTTAAAGTTTGTGCAGTTTGAGTTCCTGTTGATGTTTTTGCCTTTTCAAGCGTTGTAGCACTCGGCCCTTTATTTAAAGAGCAAGTCACCACCTACAAGAAACTTACTTCACTCCCTCTTCATGTTTGAAAAATGCAACAAATGCTGTTGCCTAGCAGACCGAGAGGGGGAGGCGGAGCCACTAACAAATACACACACACACACACACACACACACACACACACACAGGCATTGTGACATCATAATGTACCAGTTTACATCGTGGCATACCTGTTAGCCAATAGCGGTGGCAGATTTAAATTCAAATGCAGTGCAGAATTTTTTTTCCTGACGACGGCGCAACACTGACAGTTTTAGGCAGAAATTTTAAATTTTAACTAAGATGCACTGAAGTACCAAATTGTTGACTACACATGTCTGCAGCACAATTAGACACACATTTGTATAGTTTATCAGCAAAAAAAAGTTGATTTGGGGGTGACTTGCTCTTTAAAACTAACCTGACTCCATAAAGTTTACTTGCATTATTTAGTCTGAGTCAGCAGTAAAACAAACCCATTAGGTGTAGGAAAATATCTGTTTACACTGCGAGGAGAGATGGATTCAGCCTGACAGCCTCTTCAGTACATCACAATAAATAAAACACAAACTTTGGATTTTCTTTTCCACACATTTTCTTTGAATTTTATTTGATCGTGTCTGTTTTTAAGTCTCTTTGCTTTCTATAACTCCCAGCCCATCTCATGTCTGACTGTTTTTGGGGAAACTGGGACAATCATCTGTCAGAAATGTGAATTTTCTCATCATTTCTTGGAGCAGAACATCATTTCTGTTTATTTTTTTTTTGGCATCAGACTTTTCAGGTTTGGCAGCTGAGGTTGGATCGAGCTCGATCAAGTCAGAGAGTCGAGCTCTAATATGTTGCTCTCATCTCAGCAGTTTTTCTTGAAGTATTTATTTTATTTAGCCAGTTTGCTGTTGGGACTTCTTTTCTTCAGCTCCCAACCCTCCGTGTCATGACTCAAGCACCGATGCGGCATGACAAACGTGTCTTTGATGCGTGGAACGATTTATGCTCTCGTGTCCTGATCTGAAGCACGACCTGAGCTTGTGTGTCTTCTGCAGAAATCCGCGAGGCTTTCAAAGTGTTTGATCGTGATGGGAATGGTTTCATCTCAAAGCAGGAGCTGGGGATGGCTATGCGCTCCTTGGGGTACATGCCAAACGAGGTGGAGCTGGAGGTCATCATCCAGAGACTAGACATGGACGGTGAGGCTGGCGTCCATTTGAGAATCTGTTTTCTTGTCTTTTAAATTGAACAGCACTGTTTTGTTTGACATTTGTCTTGCAGGTGACGGTCAGGTGGACTTCGAAGAATTTGTTACTCTTTTGGGTCCAAAGCTGACGGCTTCTGGGATGCCAGACAAGTTCAACGGCACCGACTTCGACTCCGTTTTTTGGAAGGTGCTCATTATTCAGACATCATTTCCCACCTGTTAGACACACGGTTTCTGAGAGGAGTCACAGGTGAATCACATTCCCTGCAGGACCCTGAAACACCACGCTAGACCCAGCTGTAACTGTCATGCCCACTGGGCCGTTATGGGAGACTATATCGTCACGGCAGTCCTGTTACTTAGATAATTACAGCAACTTTCATGTAAAGCAGATTTTAATTTATTTAAAGACGCCTCATTAGATAACCATCTTCTCGACTTGACACTGGAATGGAAATTAGCGGGATGGAGTTCTCATCAAAGCCGCCTTTGTTGTAGTCGTGTGATAACAGCAGAGTCGGAGTGTGAGGCTCCAAATGGAGAGAGACGAGAGGGATTGTGGGAATAAACCTCTGCTGGCAGGAAAGGAAGCACAATGAGGAGTTGAAAAGGCTGCAGGACGTTATGTAAGAAACCTTGTAGAAGTATCAGTCGGGTGCTGCTGATTGTTCCTACGGATCCGCTGAGCTGAAAACGAGAAACTGGCATGAAGCTGTCCAATCAGGCAGGAGCGCATCCAGAAAATTTTGATAGGGGTGGCCAGATGGGACCAAATACATTTTTGGGGTGGCACACCAAACTGGTCCTTGTGGCATCTCTGGGAGAGTTTAGCCTGTTTATTCATTCTTATTAAAAAAGTAGTACGTGTCCAAAACATTCATCTTAAATTTTATAAACACAAACATTTCAGAAAAATACATTTGTTATTTAAAATGTAATTCCAAATTTAATTCAAACAATTTTTTTAGGTTAATTCACCTGTGTTGCCGTGTTCACACACACATACACACACACACACACACACACACACACACACACACACACACACACACACACACACACACACAACTACGGAGATAAAAACTTTTTTAAAATGGCGAGCAACGGAAATATATGTATTTATTTTTTAATTCCAATTATTTATTTACTTCTTAATTGTATTATTTTTATTTTGTTGTAAAATTATGTCTTGAATAAACAAGATCAATATATGGTTTATTAACACTAACTTTTCCTGGGCTGGGCCAGCACCCCTGGCCACCCCTGGCCACCCCTTGGGGGCGCCCTTGCAATCAGGAAAGGAAACTTGACGGACAAATCGGGAAATATTAAGGAAGAATGTTTCTAAGAACTCCACAGAAAATGAATAGAGTTATGCTTCGTTGTGTTGGAGTGAAACGGCCGATAATTCCTCTGGATTTCTATGAAAATGACATCTTCATTAAACTTGTTTACAGGATAATGATTGTACCTATTTTTTCTCCTGGTAAACATTTTCTTAGAGAAATCGTCACATCGTGTCTCTGATGAGAGAATAAATGAATTTCATTCATATTCTGTCAACATTTTACTAAATATTATTGAATGTTTATCACCTCCTAACAGAATAAATGTCATTAAGCAGCAAGCAGCATCGGTTTTCATCATGTCCTTCAGAAAACCAAGCCCTTGAAATTCGATGCAAATCCTTTATTTCCTCCTGCTGAAAATGTCCCTAAAATAAAATTAACATTAAAAATGTTTAAAGTTAGAATTGTGTCCCCGGTGTCGTGGAAACGGGTCGAAGTGGAACCGAATGGTTTACGGCAGGAAGCTGATGTGTTTTAGGAGGTTGAGAAAAGAGAAAAAAATTCTAAAACAAGGTGAATAAATGATCACGACGAAACATCTGGAGACAGATGTTGGTGTCAAATTAACAGTGATATGTTTCTGTTCTGTTCATCACTTTTATGGACAGAATTTCTAGGTGCAGCCGTGGTGTGGAGTGTGTCGAGTTTGGTGGCAGGAGAATCTCGTCTCTGCTTTTTGCGGATGATGTGGTCCTCCTAGCTTCATCCAGCTCTGACCTTCAGCTCTTGCTGGGTAGGTTCGCGGCCGAATGTGAAGCGGCTGGGATGAGGATCAGCACCTCCAAATCTGAGACCATGGTTCTCGACCGGAAAAGGGTGGCTTGCCACCTCCGGGTCGGGGGAGAGGTCCTACCTCAAGTGGAGGAGTTTAAGTATCTCGGGGTCTTGTTCACGAGTGAGGGTAGGAGGGATCGGGAGATCGACAGGCGGATTGGTGCGGCGTCTGCAGTGATGCGGACGCTGAGCCGATCTGTCGTGGGGAAGAGGGAGCTGAGCCAGAAAGCCAGGCTCTCGATTTACCGGTCGATCTACGTCCCAATCCTCACCTATGGTCATGAGCTTTGGGTAATGACCGAAAGAACGAGATCGCGGATACAAGCGGCCGAAATGAGTTTCCTCCGTAGGGTGGCCGGGCTCAGCCTTAGAGATAGGGTGAGGAGCTCGGACATTCGGGAGGGACTCGGAGTAGAACCGCTGCTCCTCCGGATCGAAAGGAGCCAGTTGAGGTGGTTTGGGCATCTGGTCAGGATGCCTCCTGGACGCCTCCCCGGGGAGGTGTTTCGGGCATGTCCTGCCGGCAGAAGGCCCCCGGGGCGACCCAGGACACGTTGGAGAGGTTACATCTCCAATCTGGTCCGGGAACGCCTTGGGGTCCTGCCGGAGGAGCTGGTGGACAAGGCCGGGGAGAGGACGGCCTGGAGCTCCCTAATTGGGATGCTGCCCCCGCGACCCGGACCCGGATAAGCGGAGGAAGACGACGACGACGATGTTTCAAATACGAATATTTGCACGTGTGTGTTTCTGTAATAACAATTATCATCAGAAATGGCAACTTTACCACAAACAAGGACCAAGGATATTATATGATTTCACTAAAATGGTGTTGGTATGAGCCACATCATTACGAACAGCATCCTGCACTGTGTGCACATATCTTTATAAATGTATTTCTCTCAAGTGTGTGTACGTGCATGTGTGTTTGCGTGTGTGTGTGTGTGTGTGTGTGTGTGTGTGTGTGTGTGTGTGTGTGTGTGTGTGTGTGTGTGTGTGTGTGTGTTTACTGTGTCTGATGGCTAGTGCCCGTGGTAATGTTGCATTATGTGTGTGTCTCCAGTGTGACATGCAGAAGTTGACGGTTGAGGAGCTGAAGAGGCTTCTGTATGACACCTTCTGTGATCATCTTTCCATGAAAGACATTGAGAATATCATAATGACGGAGGAGAACCACATAGAAAACCCCGAAGACTGCCAAGTGGACATAGACAGTAAGGAGAAGCACTTGAACATCCACGCTGTGGACAGATCTCTGTGGCGCCTCTAGAACCATGAGGAACAAACCCTAAAAAAATGAGTTTAACAATTATTTGTTTAATCTAAAAGTTTTGATTTAAATCAAAAGAAAGATAAAATGTAAAAGTTTTCATTACATCTACCCCAAAAGAGCAAAGATGAAGGGACTGAAGTTTAAGTGGACACAGGATGGATGGATGGATGTGTCATGTTGAGAGGAGGAGGAGTAGGACCCGATGTGCAGACACCCAGAAGGAACGGAGCAGGAGAGGATGTAAAATGAGACATCTTTCTTAAGATGATTAGTCCAACGAAAAAACCCCAAAACACAACGTGGTACGAAGCCAAAAGATTAAGTAGGGCAGAGCCAAAGAAAACCGTGACACCGGGGGGGTGGGGTGGGGGTGGGGGTGGGGGGGGGGGGGGGGGGGGACAACACTGACGACACAATGAACCAACAGCACACAGAGACGCAGACAGGGTTAAATCCACTGGGCAGGATGAGTGGGAGATGAGCTGCAGGTGTGTGGGGAGAGGAACCTGGTGACATCAATGAACTAATCAGGGAGAGGAAAGTGAGCTGAGGAGGAGAAAATCACATGACCTAAGAACAAAAACAAAACCTAGAGACAAGAAGAGCAAGATAAACAACTAATGACCTGAGGAGAACTAAAACACCAGTGGAGAAAGAAACACACTAAAAGAGACTAATTAAACTAAAAGCTAAACCTATAGAAAAACTACAGAGGGGTGACTAGCCCCCAAATTCCACTACCTCCGCTCCGCTCCGGTCCACCCCCGCCTTCCGCAGCCGCTCACTTCCGAACTCAATTTTTACTGGTACCCGCTCTACAACGGCTCCGCTCCGGTGCGGAGACCTGAGGTGGGCAAACAGGCATGCGCGGGATTTTCGAGATCTTGCGATACAGTCCGAGCAATAAACGCGGAAGTTAGATCCAAACACCCGTTGTGTGGGAGAAGCATCGGCATGAACTGTTTAATCTGCCCATCATTTGTGTTGAGAGATCAGCAGTGTTTGGATCAACAAAGTGTGACTACTTTGATAGTGGAAACTGTATTTATGGCTTACTTTTGTGCATTTAAACTTCAGCCGCCATTGATAGTTGTTAAAAGTTGTTAAACATGTGCATATGAAACAAAAAACGCCTTTTGTTTATCGATTTATTGTGAAATAACGGAAGTTGTGCTTGCTCCTTTTCCTGTTGGGCGGTTATGATTTCTGTCCATTGATTGCGGAGGTGCTCCGGCGTCCGGCAAAAATGGGATCGATTCCATTTTTGCCGGATGGCGGAACAGAGGGCGGCGCACGGCGCCGCACTGCCGGAGCACGGCCGCAGTAGTGGAACTGCTCTGATTGACTACAACCGGACCGATTTTGCTGCGGAGTTTGTGCCGGAGCGGAGCGGAGGTAGTGGAATTTGGGGGTAGGGGAGACCAATGGGAGCGCAGGACCTGGGAGGGATACCTGGAGGGGCTGCAGACAAGGGGGCACATGAGGATCCTAGAGGGGGATGGAGCACACAAGGAGGGAGACGCAGACCATGAAAGGATAGATAGATAGATAGATAGATAGATAGATAGATAGATAGATAGATAGATAGATAGATAGATAGATAGATAGATAGATAGATAGATAGATAGATAGATAGATAGATAGATAGATAGATAGATAGATAGATAGATAGATAGATAGATAGATAGATAGATAGATCAGCAACATCAGTGTTAACCCTTGAAAAAGTTGTGTTTATTAACTAAAGAGTTACTATATTAATAATTATTAATATACAATCATAGTTCTATTATTGAACATATTATTGTTTACATTTTACAGTGTATTTGTCTTTCAACGATTCAGTTCTTGCAGGAAATCTTCCGACATATTTCCTTTACTTTGGGAATCATTTATTGAGCCAATCAGGAGCCACTTTATGTGTTTGTTGTTCCAAACCTCTAATCAACATTTCAATGCAGTAAACAGGTGTGAAAACACCTTTTCTGGCCAATGTTTATCCTCTAATTTTGTGGACATGCACAGAATTTTAATTAGACTTCTTATTACGAGATATCATTCAAGTGTCTAATAACTCATCTTTTCGTGCCTCTCCCACCTTGTTTTCTGTCCTTTTGCAGCTTCCAGCCCCACACAGCAAGTCAAACAAACGTGCGTACGCAAGAGCCTGATATGCGCCTTCGCCATCGCTTTCATAATCAGCGTCATGCTCATCGCGGCCAACCAGGTACTGCGAAGCGGCATGAAGTAGGAGCTGTGGCTGTTCTCGGCCTTGATTCCCATCGGGAGGCTTTGTTACAGTTCAGGCTTTTAAAAAGACAACAAAACAACCAGAACAGACAATCTCATAACTGCAAAACACTTCTACAGATGACCAGAGAGCAACTGGAGACACCAAGGACACTTTGTGTGCTCGGATTTGTCTTTGTGATGAACAAACTGACATTTCCAAGATCGAGAGGACTTCACAAAGACATGACAGCGTCTGTATGGTGGACTGCCAACTATACATATCAGTCCTCGTGAACCAACCTTGAATATTTATTAGCTGTGTGCACTGAGCAGAGTTGTGTCGTGGTGGCAGCTATAGAGAGAAGTGTAGTGACTGTCCAGTTTTGTATTTGTTCAGTGTACCACGCGGTTTCATGTAAACTGTAGGAAGAATCTGTGAGAAATCGCCGGGACGTTGGGGAAATGCAAGACGTTACAAGATGAAAGGTCTGTAGTGCACAGTGTGGCGTGGTTCGGTTTCAAATCCACTTGGGAGGAAGAACCGCTCAGAAGGAACCAAAGATCACAGAACGGCTGTGTGGGGAGGTGAACGTGTGGATGGTTTCACTCGTTCACAGCCTGCTGGGTATCGGTCAGAACCAAGCAGGTTGAAGCGGGTTAACAGTTCCTGAAGAGCAGAGACGAAAGCTAGCTAGTTGGGATGCTGCCCCCACGACCCGGACCCGGATAAGCGGAGGAAGACGACGAGAACGGGAGAAGGGGCTCCCGGGGGCCCCTCTGGGACAGAGCCAGCTGGGTATATCATGGACTCCTGGAAACAGTGGAACCTGATCTCAACTGTCTGTAGAGGATTCTGAAGACGTCTGGATATTCGTGGTGTTGGTGTCAGGTTTCCTGCTTTTTGGCCTGGGAGGTTACCTGGCTGAACGTGTAGTAAACACTCTCTGCTTCGAAGGATCATCTATGCATGAGATGCATGGATAGAAACACGATTCTTATCAATGTAGTCGTCATAATCACTGTGTAATGCAGCCACCTAATGAAGACTGTGAGATGTGGGGTGGGAGCAGAAGTGAGGCACACATGCATGAAAAGAAGGGCTTCTTTAGGACTTGTTCACTCACAAACAACAACAACAAAACAACAACAAAATCGTACCCAGCTGCGGGAACAGTTACTTCACACCAGTGCAGGGCAGGAAGCGTCTTTAAGATGCATTGCTGAAAAGTTTAAAAATATGCATTTGAACTGATCTTGCTTTAAAAGAGAGATGAGGAAATGAAGGAGTGCATTTCTTTTTCTTGATTTCCATCTGGGTGCGTTGCTTTAGAGCAATAATTACATGTAATGAAGCTTTGGACACAGCGGTTTAAATGTCTGAGGATCCTCCTGCAGAATTGTGTCAGGTCAGGATACGAGGTTATGGCATTACCCCGGCGTTCCACCAGCTGCATAAACGTCGCGGCGCGTCCGCAAAGCACAATGTGCAGCTAATAGCCAATGCTATAGCTAATGGGTTGGATCCTACCCGCTTCTCGAATGCTGACCCAGAAGCTCCGCTAAATTTATGCATTTCCTTTGAAGGCAACACTTCAAGAACACGCCAAGCTCAGCAGTTCTTGCCAGACAGGAAATCAAACACCAGAGGAGTGTGAAGCATCCAGCAACTTTCAAAATAAAAGATTGCTGACTTCCAATTGCTGAACTATCAAAAAATGATGTCACTAGCTGTGACTTTCTCTTGGCAGAGGTTAAAAAACAGACCTTTTGGACACATGCTACCAACGTTTTGCTCGCTTGTACCACAAGAACTGGCTAAATCAATGCATTTGCAGCCTTCACTCGACTGGGGAGCTCTTGGTAGGAAGGGATGTGTAGTACGTAGCGATTAGCTGTGGTAATAGTGGATTACTGAGTCTCCATTGACTGCAAAACTTCAAATTTTAGACGCATAAATGTAGCAGAGAGACACATTACTATGCTTCTGGGACACGTCCAGCCGGTGGAAACGCACGCATCTACCATAACGATGGCTAGGTCCCAGAAGTTTAGTGACGTGTCACTCCTCTAAATTCATGCTTCAAGTCAGTTTTCACACTTCCAGTCTATGTTTATGTGCTACGCTTCGGCTTTTGGGATCAGGCCAGACAGGAAGTCAAACATAAAAGTATTGTAAAACATCCTGAAATTTCCAAAACAAAAGTCGTGTTGATTTCTAGTTGCTTAACTAGAGAATGAAACAAACGAAGTCTTTACCTGTGAAACGTCCATCGCCAAGGCAAACAGCACAGAAAATAAACCACAGACCTTTTTGCATTCATGCTGCCATTTTTCTCCTTGCTTGTTAACAAGTGAACTAGCAAAGTCACCACTGATGAGGTCATTTTGTGACCTCACGGTACCACCCTTGTAGAATGCGTTTGCTGCTGGTTTGTGTCTAAAACGCTCCCGGGAGGAGGTGACACGCTGCTGACCTCGCGTCTAATACGGTAATTTCCCTCTAGAATTAATAAAGAATCTTTGAATTTGAATTTGAAGCGCCGCTTACGCATCCGCTGGAATGGCCGGGTCAAGCTCAGATCTTCACATGATGGAAAGTGCAATGGGAAAAAAATGATTTGAAATGACTGCAATAAAATATCAACATCCTGAAGTGACCATCATGTGATTGGGTGTAGGTTTAGATTCACGTGCATGCATCTTGGTGATTTTTTTCATTTATTTTTATTTTTATTTTATTTTTTGCATTTACGATTCCGCATCTTTACCAAAGCTACGGAGGAATCTGTGATATGAGAAGAAGCCCGTTCAAAAGCATAATTTGAAGGATAAATAAATAAACAATTCAGAATTCATTTAGGAGAAACCTTGTGACCTGAAAAACATTCTTCAAAATGACGTCCACATTAATAAAAGATCTTAATTTATGGGATGTTGTGAATTTTTAGCTGTCAAGCAGATTCCAAAGGAGTCGTTCCCATTTCCCGGATGCATGCACGACGAGGATTATCTGATGCACCTCAGTAAATTTGACAAGCGTGTCAAAGACTCTGGCAAAAATAGAAACCATTTATTGACAAGTACCTGTGTTTCCATTTTGCACTTTAAGATGTGCTGCTGCACACGTCAACTCACCGCCATGATTGTTAATTCATCTCCCCAAAAATCTGAATAGATTTATTTTTGTTATGAGAATGTGATGGAAGAGAAATGAAATGCGAGTCAGTCGTGCCGTCTTATTTGTTTCTAACAGGAAGAATTGTATTTGCTGCCTTATTTTTGGTGCATTCAAAAGAAAATTGCCAGTATGTTTATCATTTATGACCAGAGCAGAATATATCAGACTGTTTATTTTCTTTTTACAGCTGGAAATAAAACGTCTATCTGTTGATGTTCTCATCATTGTTCTGTACTTTGATACGTGTCTTTTGCTCCTAAAATTGGTTCATTCTGATGTTCTTCTCTGTCTGTTTATTGGTATTTCATATGAATAAAACCACCTAACAAGTGCATTTATGTCACGTTTTTGAAATACACTACTTTTTGTCACATGTGGCACAGCTTGGGGGACTTGTTGCTTGGTATTGATTGGGATTCAGACATTTTTGATAGAAATCTATGAAAGGTAATGGATTTTTGAAGGTTCGCTGGATTTATGGATTGCTTTCCCATCCCTTATTTATTTATTTATTTATTTATTTTTTAGAAATCTTTTGCAACACTTTTGACTCCATTATGCCAAATTTATCCCAACAAAATCCCATCTGAGTTTTCCACTGTGCTTTCCTGGACTTGGAAATGTGCAAAAGTAACTCAGGAAAACTCTATTTCTGTAGATTAACTAGAAAATCATTGTCATGCTTCAGAAAGCAATGTATTCCAGTGATGAATTTCTTGATTTAGAACAGATATGAGTACATTTTGCACATTTTATTCCAAACTTGGGGAAAAAACCACTCAGTTATGTCTTGAAGTGTAAAGCAGCCCCCCGATAATAATATTAGTGTTTTGAGGGTCAAGTTTTTAAAAAGTGCAAATAAATGAAGAAAAGAATCGAAGGTGAACATAATCCGCATTCTTTCATAGTTTTTATATTACGTTTACAGCTAATAGACCCCTTATCGAATCATGTCACCTGCTGCTAATGTGCATGTCGGCAGCAGAAAGAGCCACAGTCATGTGGTGTAGTTGGTTGTACAAACCGCTTTGATAAAAACAACAAAAACACACAAATTCTACAGAATTCCATCGACTCGCACCCCTTTCAAGTCAAACAACACGTCTTTGGTTACAAGCTATCAGAAGATGCGACTGGAACGAGAAAATGCTCAAATCTGCAGCAACATATCAGTCAAGCCTCGGCTAACAACAAGCTAATCAGCACCATAGGTTTAATAAAGCTAATGATGTGCCTTGGCTCCCTTTTGCTCGTTTGTGTTGCTAAACATAACGCTACAAGCTAGGCCTACTAGCAACCTGCAGCTAATGTTTACAATAACAACACTGACTAAAGAAGAGGTAACGTAGCTATGGAAATCATGCTTATGGTAATTTATGACGTATTAATAGAGACGACATTCCCAGCAATGCATGTGCAGTTTGCTTTCAGAATCTGCTTTTCTTGTTTACAGCGACGTAGACTGCGTACATGTTGGACTTCCCACAGGTTAATATTTTTAAATCACTTCTTTTCTACGTTCTTTGTGCGCGTTTCATCTAACGGCATTACTTGGTTCTTTTTTTTTAACGCAACAAAATATTTATTTTTACGTTGTGACTATCATTATAGTCTTCCTCAGAGCTTCGCCGCTGTTGGTGGCATCACTTCCTTCTACATTTATCAGCGAGCAGCAGAGGATGAGGTCGCCCTCTGCTGCCCGCGCTCTCCTCCCTACCTTACCTCCAAGGCTCTTTGTCTGTCTTTGGGTGTACGGCGCTTCTACATTTTTTCTGGAAACTGGAAATGATTAAACATGGACCTGGTCAGCTGGTCTCTCAACGCGACTGACAAAATTTTCTCAACAATGAGAATGGGCATCTGGTCAGGATGCCTCCTGGACGCCTCCCTGGGGAGGTGTTTCGGGCATGTCCTGCCTGCAGGAGGCCCCCGGGTCGACCCAGGACACGTTGGAGAGGTTACATCTCCAATCTGGTCCGGGAATGCCTTGGGGTCCTGCCGGAGGAGCTGGTGGTGAAGGCCGGGGAGAGGACGGTCTGGAGCTCCCTAGTTGGAATGCTGCCTCCGCGACCCGGACCCGGATAAGTGGAGGAAGACGACGAAGACGATGAGAACGGGAGAAGGGGCTCCCGGGTGCTCCTCTGGGACAGAGCCAGCTGGGTATATCATGGACTCCTGGAAACAGTGGAACCTGATCTCAACTGTCTGTAGAGGATTCTGAAGACGTCTGGATATTCATGGTGTTGGTGTCGGGTTTCCTGCTTTTTGGCCTGGGAGGTTACCTGGCTTATCGGAAAATTAACGAGCTGTCTAGGAATATTGGCTCTTTCCCGGAGCTCAGGGATGGATTACACCGCGCTGTGAACGCACAAACTCATATAATTGTTGAGATGAGTCGAAAGCTTGGAACTTTGGCTGAGATTCATGCATTGGCACAAAAGATGGATGCAATCAAAGAGTGAGTGGACGAATCAACACGAATTGGGATAGATTCATTCATTTACGCCATTATTAGATTTTGAGAGGTTGAGGACCAGCGGAACTTTAAGAAAGAGAAGACATTATCCCTGTGAGGCTGAAATGAGTAACTCAGTATCTAAGTTATTATGGCTCCCTAAAATCAGAAGTCTTTTTATAATAAAAGAGAAAACAGATTTATCCAAAAAAAATTACTTTTGTTATCGAGCTGCTGCACTGTCACAGTTTTACAGATGTTGCAGGTAAAAAAAACAATTTTAAAAAGATTGTTTTCTCTAAGAAGCTGTGGTTTGACAAAATAAGATTTGAACGTGAGAATAGGTGAGACTTTTACAGGAAATAAACAATGTGTAACGATAACCTGAGACCTGTACGGAAGAAGAAAAGAACATGACTATTTATTAGACATGACTTTATGATATTGAATTTTTATTCACTACATATTTTTTATTTAAAGATCACCAGGATTGGTGCATCTGCAGTGATGCGGGCGTTGTACCGGTCTGTCGTGGTGAAGAGAGAGCTGAGTCAGAAGGCGAAGCTCTCGATTTACCGGTGGAGCTACGTTCCTACCCTCACCTATGGTCATGAGCTTTGGGTAGTGACCGAAAGAACGAGATCACGGATACAAGCGGCTGAAATGAGTTTTCTCTGAAGAGAGGCTGGGCTCTCCCTTAGAGATAGGGTGAGAAGCTCGGTCATCCGGGAGGGGCTCGGAGTAGACCCGCTGCTCCTCCACATCGAGAGTAGCCAGTTGAGGTGGCTCGGGCATCCAGTCAGGATGCCTCCTGGACTCCTCCTTGGTAAGGTTTTCTGGCCACGTCCAACCGGGAGGAGACCTAAAGGTAGACCCAGGACACGGTGGAGGGACTATGTCCCTCACCTGGCCAGGGAACACCTTGGGATTCCCCCCGGAGGAGCTGGCCCAAGTGGCTGGGGAGAGGGAAGTCTGGGCCTCTCGGCTTAGGCTACTGCCCCCGCGACCCGACTCCAGATAAGCGGATGAAAATGGATGGATGGATGAATGGATGGATGGATGGATGGATGGATGGAACAGCAAAAATTTTATCTGTAAAAATTAATCTGCAGGATTTCAACTTCAAACATGCAACAACAACTGAGACTACTTCCTTGTGACCCAAGCTAAAGCAGTCAGTCACTCAGTCTACAGAAATCCTAGACGTAGACGCCCTGTGGACTGCTGCTCCCGATTGGAGCTGCTGTAGTGGCTGGCCTCCATCTTGGATGGGTCTACATTTGCCCCTGGTGCATTTATATTTATTCAGGAAGGTGCTTACCCAACTAAAATACGCAGTTAATTATGCTTTTTCACAAAATCAGACATATAGTATGGCAAAGAAGTCAAAATATAAATTTAATAAAATAGAAAATCCCATCAGGTAGGCTAGAAAAGTCAATAGTAATCCCGTGTGGTCTGTTTTCACTAATACGCTGGTTGTTGCAACAGCAGGCCGTAAAGTAACGGACAGTTGCTCACTCCGCGTTGACTCTGTTAACCCTGTCATGCTCTTAAGCGCCCAATGGGGTGTCTACGTATTCATGTCTATGACTCGATTGAGTTGGGTGGCTTTTAGCCACGTCTCGTCGTCTTCCTCTTCCTCCGGAGGAAAAGGAAGACAACGACGACAGCTTTTAGCCAGTCACATTACACTTCTCTGATCACATGACAGTGAGGTGTCAACTCAGTTGAGTGACGATTGGCTTGGGTCACAAGACGGTCGTCTCAGTTGTTGTATGTTTGCTGTTGAAATCCTGCAGTTGAGTTTTTACAGATAACATATTTGCTGATTCATTTGAAGTAAAGAACATAATTAAGTACATAATTTCACAGAATAAAAGCCCAATGTCCTGAATTTGATGAGTAAAAACAGTCATGTTCTGTGGAGACTATTTCTTCTCGAGACCTGAGATGCAGGTTTCAGCTGAAATTGATAACAATAAAGCCAACTGAATCATTTACAGAGTTAACATCGATCCTGGAGACCTCCTCTTTCATCAGGCGAAGACAAGATTTATGCATTTAATGAACCCAATGTCACATTGATTGTTTACCAGACACATACTTTGCATTCGTGTGATGATGGCAATAGTGCATGCACATTTCTCCAGTTACTACTCAAAATAAAACTCAGTTTGCCAATTAAAAGTTTCACTTGTGTGTTTTAGCAAATTCTATTATTATAATTTAGACATTTTTTGACTTGCAGGTACAGAACTGATCATTTCCACTGCTCAGTCAGAAGCATTTGCTCCGTCCAGCTCGACTGTCAGACCAACAGTGGTGTTTGCCGGTCACCATTAACTTGTACCGCCCATACTGCATACTGATGAGAGCTTTGCTGCTGCAAGCTCTCTGAAACTGCACCACTGAAATTAGTACCAGTGCACTCTGCAGCACCGTTTTCAGCCGAGACATCAGCAGTCGTCTCAGGCAGCGGCATTTTCCCACGATGAGGAGGTGATTAAAATAGCTGGTTCACACAGCAGCAACAGCAAAAAATAGAGATATTTCTCATCCATTACTGATGAACCTGGATCTGAGATCAGTCACGTGGACTGAAGCAGGGAGAAGGTACAGGGAGGTGTGGACACGGAGGTGTTCTCACGACTCTCTTCTCGTCGCGGGCTCATATTTTGTTAGCTTCGTTGGTAAACTTGACTTGGATCATACTTTGGCTTTGTCTTTGTCTGAGCGTCACTGCTTATCAGGACTGCTCCTGTTTTTTGTCGAGGATTTTAACTGGACTATTTCAGTTCAGTTTTCCACGCCCCTTTTGGGCTGGCGCTTTCAGTTAGACCCTTTTGTTTATAGCTCTTTTGTTTCTTGTATAGA